CCTAGGTGCTCGCAGGCCTAGAACTACAATGTTGGCTCTATTCCTATGGCAAGTTTATCTAGCAAGACACCTTTCCCTCTTGTGATGCATTTTCCTCTCTAGTCATTAGGATATTACTTCTCAGATTTAGTTTTGCTTCCTACGAATCACAACAGCAGCTGGAAATAGCTTTCTGCAGTGGAACATTTAGCTTGTCAAAGTGGGAAACAGATACATTGTGAGGAAATGGAGTTGGGGAAGACCGGAACTGGGGGTCATCTAACTTCACAGTACTGATTTATCCACTAGCCAGTCCAACCCAGTCAAACACCTGCTTACATGGATGTGGAACTCAAATATCCTGATGGGACAGATCTCTCCCTCTCCAGATCCATTGCTACGGCCAGCATGTATTCCCCTTTTTAAAATGCATTAGCAAAAACATGATAAATTTTATTGGAGATTATCAAGGAGTTACTAGATTTTCTTGCACAAACCACCAAGGTTCAATCTCTCCAAAGAATCATTCTTCATAGTCTCAGAGACAATTGCTTAACAATTGCAAGTATATAGGCAGGCCCTTTGGCAATGGGAAAGACTTAGATTTGAGTCGTCCACATAGAATCATGTCATAGAAAAACTTTTCTTTGCTTGTTAAAACTGTAAGGAAGACTTTAACCAAGACTATCACAGCAGGAGAGAAAGAAGTGGCTCATCCCCGAATGTAAGAGGAACAGGTAGGGAGCGGGGTCACTACATGGAGAATTACTAAGAGGAGATATCAGGGGTGGGGAGATTCTTGTCCAAGGCAGGCCAAGGCTGAATCCTGGTTGGGAAGAGGGCTCTGAAAAGCCAGACTACAATTTGGACAAAGGGAAGTTTTTTTTTCAATAACTAAGGACAATTGTCCGAATGAAACTCACTTGCTAAGGTTAGAGTCAGGCTTCTAGAATGATGCTGTGAAGCAGTGGTTCTCAACTTGTGGGTTGGACCCCTTTGCAACAATGAAAATACATCCTGCATATCAGATATTTACATTACGATTCACAACAGTAGCAAAATTACAGTTATGAAGTAGCAACGAAATTAATTTTGTGGTTTAAAGGGTCACAGCATTAGGAACCACTAGGAAGGGTGAGAACCATGGTGTGAAGGTTCTGAAATGTAGAGTGAGATCTTCTCTGCACGTCAGTACTCACACATTCAACTTTGCCCAACTGGTAACTTTCCAATCAACCCAGTTTCAAACAATGTTGATTTATGACTGCTTCAAAAAGGTCATAAAAATATTCTGAAATTAGAAAATATGCAAATCGTAATACTCGAATGATTTGACAGTAATATCCTTAGATCCTTTCCAAATATGCACGCCCTCACCTCCTCACCTGTTTATTTTGTTAGTGGTGACTACCATCTCCCTGCTGTCTGATCATTGACTGTACCCTTCCCTCTCTCTCTGCACAAATGTCTTTACCAACTTGTCACATCGTCACCAATTTAGAAAAAGAATCTGGATAAAAACCTATTTCAGCATTTGTAATCTATCTAAACAGGAAGTTATTTCCATAACTCGTAACATCACGCAGCAGCTGGGAAAGGCTTCAGCAGTCATCTCTTTCAACCCCGTCACTTAGCAATTCAGGAAGAGGAGGTCCAGACCAGTTCGTGATTTAATCAATAGTAATTGCAGGAAAACCCTTAAAGCAGAAGTTGAGAGATTTGTAGCTGTCACTCACCAATCATATGATCCAGGGCAAGTTTCTTAACCTTCCTGATCACAGTCTTCTCATCTATAAAATAAAAGGAAGAGATCATTACATAGGTTCCTCAACGTGTGAAAATGCTGGCTTTACCTTGCATTAAACTGGGTAGGGTGGATAAAAGCAGCATATATAAAGAAAGCACCTCACACTGGGTTGGTGTAAAGTAAACCCTCAAAATAAAAATTAGATAGTAAGGAAGTGTCTCCCTTATTCACCCACCCTTCCTCCTTCCCTCCCTCCCATCTTCCTTTCCACCTTCCCCTCCTTCCCTCCCTTCTTCCCTTCCTCCCTCCCTCCCTTCTTTCCTTCCTTCCTTCCTTCCTGTGTAAGCTGGAAGGTGAGACATAGGGAATGATGGGGACGCTGGCAGACAGGAGACCTGCTTAGTGAGCAGACTGTGCTATACCATAGACTACTCACTTGATTGAAATATTAAAATATGCTACTTGGGTCCTAAGGGAAAAGTTTAAGCATATAAGAGAAGGAATTCTGTTTAACAAGTTATCAATGTAATCCGTTTTATAGCTTGGATTTTTAAGAGTTAAATCCAAACATGTTCTCTAAAAAATAACCCTAAAGTCCGTGTAAATCTGGTGGATCAAACATCCAACAGGAGCATCTCAACATGAAATATTGACGAAAAACTGGTGATTAGTGGTTTTCCTTCCTTTTTCAGTGGCCTTACCTAGTTAGTGATCAAACACTCAGACTAAAATGTGACCTTCTTCCTCACCAATTACCTCATTCATTAGCCTAAAGGAGTGTGGATATAAGTGCCTTTCCTGTTTCCAGTCTTCATCAACTATGATCTTTCTTTTAAAGCGAGATTGAAGTCTACTTAGAAAATTGGAAAATTTTTCTAGCCTACGGAAATACTCCCACCTAATTCGTGCAGGCGATGAGTCAGCTCTTGTGTAGAGAAGCCTTGGTCCTTTGGGCTTGAGGGAAGTGGGTGGATGTGCTTTTCTTTGCTTCTAATGCACCACGGTCAGTACAGTCGGGGTTAGAGAACACACATGCGTACCAGGCAGCAGGGAAGCTTTCACATTTGGGGAACAATTTTAAATGGCAATGCCACAGCTTGTATAGAAGCAGCCCAGGAGAAAAGCAGTGAGTGAAATAAAGATAATGACATGTAAGAGGAGGCGCGACCTGTTCTCTCTCTGCTCTGGGTTTGGGCTCTGTTCATGTATAATGTTACAGTAAAGTCTAATGATTGAGCAACAACTAGAAAAGCCAGCACCATATGCTCTGTGCAGGGTCACAGGAAAATAGGCTGCTAATTGTCTAAAGAGGAAAGACATCCTGAGGAGATTGAAAGTGACTTTCTGGAGGACAGAAAGGACAGCTAACTAAGTCCTCTGAAAGAGCAAACAGAAAAGACAGTGAGTGCAAGCAAAAGCAAACTGGTTTCTGTAACTTCCAGCCAAGTATTTGGAGGTAAATAAGAGTGAGCCCCAGCTTCAGGAAAACACATCAGGGCCTTGAGGGCAGTAACTTAGGAGGGAATCTTAGAAGAGGGAGGATCTTCAAAGATACTCCAGAAATTCAACCACAGAAAACCTTCCTATTAAGACCACTCATCTTACATGGATGGAGCTGGAAAATGTTCTTCTTAGCAAAGTATCACAAGAATGGAAGAAAAAGTATCCAATGTACACAGCCCTATTATGAAACTAATTTATAGCTTGAAAGCTATAACCTAATTATAGCCTAAGAATATGGGGAGGGAGGTGGGGGAGGGGAGGGAAGATGGGTGGAGGGAGGGTGAATATGAATGTTTTAAGTTTAATGTTTTAAGAGTAGAATATGAATGTTTTAACACAGTAACTAAGAAAATGACATGAAGGCTATGTTAACCAGTTTGATGAAAATATTTCAAATTGTATATGAAAACACCGTACTGTACCCCATGATCTCATTAATGTACACAGCTATCATTTAATAAAAAAAAAAAAAAAGATCACTCATCACCTTAAAGCCAGGATGTGGGTACAGGGAGGAATTGGGGCTGACAATTCCAGGGCTTCAGAGTATGCAGAAGTATAAGCTCAGGAGCCAGACTGCTGGGTTCGAATCCTGGTTCTGCCACTTAGGAGCTGAGGGACGGTGGCCAAGTTCTTTAACTTCTCTTTTCCTCAGTTTCCCCTCAGAAAAGTGCTGTGCACCTCAGTTTCCCCTCAGAAAAGTGCTGTGCACTAGTCCATACTGAGTATATCAGCATTATTATTAAAATGCCAATAATGTATACCGTTTTATTGTTTCATCTGTACTTATTAATAAAATGTCCCATGCTGTAAGAATTCTTGTCTTGTATTTTGGAAACTTCCTAAAATGTCAGGTAGGAAAAAGGCGACTGTGCCAAGCAGGGCATGGTGCTGAAAATTATCCAGGGAAACTTATCTGTGTGTATGTGGGTTGGGGAGGAGGAACCCAGTGTAGCAAAGACGTCACCCCCTTTTCGCATAAAGTCAGGTGGGAAATTTCCTGAAGACCATTGTGTACAAATTTTATACATAAAAGGGAGAAGATCCTAACTTTTAACAATTTTCAAAAGATTACGTATATCCAACATATACCTCTATAAGCATTTTTATAGAGAATATTTTATCACACACCTACCTTTAGCAACTAATGAAAAGCAATGCATCTTTCCGTAACTTAAAATACACCTTGGTATTCCACTCAGCTATGACCCCTACAGATGTCCGCTGGAATTATTGTTGGTGTGGGAATGAGAGTCAATAGAGCCAGAACTCAAAAAATCTGTGAGCTGAAAGGTTGCCTTCCTCGAGATGCCCCAAGCCTGTGCACTATGTCAGCTTATCTCCCTAAAGCCCAGTGCATGAAATTTCTGAGCCCTTTAATCTGTGACCATCAAAAACTTCTTGAATATCTTTTTTTTTAACCTTAGTAAAGCAGATTTATTCCTGATTTTGCTTCAAATGCAAATCAATTAGGCAGCTGTGAATAGTATGACAAATGGAGTTATATTGTAGCTGATTCATACCAAGGTTTCTTTACAGACATTAAAATGTCATCTTCTTCTACTTACATTTTTAGTTTCTCTTTCTTTACATCTGTTTTGTTTTACTTTTAATTATGTTCAAACATTTTATTAAAAAAAATTTAAGCACAGAAATATTATGCCTTTCACATTCACCTGAAGCTCTTGCCCCTCACTACAGGTAGTCAGGGCTAATAGTAGGCTATAAATTCTCCTAGATCACTTTCTTCTCCCTCACTTTTTTACTTTGAGAGGGGGGAGTGCAGACAAAGTCCTCCATTACCATAAGTTACGCTGTATATTTTCCCACGTGTGGGGAAATCACAGGGGTCAGCCCATCCAGAGTGCAGTGGATGAGCCTCACCCTGGGAAAACCACCTTCGTGACCATGCACTCTCCCTGCCAGGTGAGTATCCCTGGGTCACTTCCACTCTCAATCAACATATAAGACACAGCATATACACATACATATATGGGTGTGTACATAAAATATGTACACATATCTGCACATTATTTGTTTTTAAGGAAATTTTTGCCTAAGGACATACGTTATGTAATATCAGCAATTGGCTTTTTCCACTTTGCAATTTGTGTGGGCGATCTTTCCCGGTTGGTGTATACATAACCAGTAGATGAGCGATGAACTTCGTATATGAGCTGTGTGATTGTTCTATAGAACAAATGTACTGGAGTTCAACCTGTCCACTCTGGATGGCTATGTAGGTTGATTACTATTGTGTTTGCCACCAAATCCTGTATTTTTATCTTTAGGCACGTGGGGGTTATTTCTCTAGAAAAGACCTCTAAAGGAAGAATTACTGGGTAAAAAGACCATTACATTTTGTTAGATCTGAAACGTTTCCCTACAAAAGACTCAACCAACTTAAGCACACCCCAACAGAGTGAAACAGCACTTGTGTCTCAACATCCTTACGCACTGTGGACATTCCCCTGCTTTGCAATTTTTGCTACCCTGGTAGGAAAAACAACATCATTTTCTCTCCATTTACATTTTTCTGCTTGCTAATGAGGTTGAACATCCCTTTAAATGTTGTTAAAGCTATTTTTAGTTATTTAGTTAATTGCCCAATGTTTTCATATTGCGTAATTTGAGGTCTCTCTAAATTACGGTGAAGAATCTTTGGTCTGTTCTATGTGTAACATATTTTCTCCCAGTCTGTTATTTGTCTTTTAATTAATTATTGTGACTTCTGTCATTTAAAAGTTTCAAATGTTTATGCAGAAGAATATTAAAACTTTCTACTTTGTGAATTCTGAATTTAGGGTTTTCTTAGGAAACCCTTCAAAACTCTGAATTGTCAATGAATATTATCCTTCTTTATTCAACATAACTTTATGTTTCTGTAATTTATGTGTAGTTGTTTGATCTAAAAACAATTTTGTAAGGGTGTGAGACAGGACAAAGCTTCATTGTATTTCCAAATTGCCGGATGGTTGTCCCCTGAGTCCCACTGCCAATTAGTTGTCCCTCGTGTAGTAAATAGCCCATTTTCCCCACTGATTTCCCCACAAGGTAACACGTGATATTGCTTTTGTCACATATTCAATTTTCCTATGTAGCTTGGTCTAATCTTCCACTCTTTTTCTGTGCAATCAAGATGCCTATTTCTGAATGATTACTTACTGTAGGGTTAGCTACTACACAGCTTTACATGATGTATTTTTAATGTGATTGAAAAAATGCCACTCCTTGATTTTTTTCAAAATGTTCTAGGCTAGTATTACATTTTTCTCTTCAATTGAACTTTAAACTGTCAAGTTCCATAAAATGTTTTTTTTTAGGATTTTATAAACGATTAAATGTATAGATGAATTTAGGGAAAAATAAGTCCTTTACCATGTTAAGTATCCTCTTCCAGGAACATGCTCTGCCTCAGCGTTTATTTAGATTAATTTATGTATCCTTCCAAGAAGGTTGTATTGTTTCTCATAATGGGTATTCAGATCTTTGTTAGGTTTAATTCTCATCATTGTCTGGTTCCTGCTGCGATCGTGATTGAGAGGTCATCCCATGATATGTTCTACTTGATTATTATCCTATGTAGAACAGTTATCATATTCTGAATTTTAAATATAGTATATGATAATTTTTAACTCCTAAAAAGTTGTATTAATTTTCATAGTTTTTTCAATTTATTTTTTTGGATTTTCTAGATATTTGGTCATCTTGGGTACAAATAATTGTTTTATCCTTGACTACCTAATGCACATGTGTGTGAGTGTCTTGTTTATGTCTCAGTCTTTATGACATTTTGGATAGAAATATGGATAATAGACAAGATGCTGTCATATTTTCCTGACTGCATCATGGCTACTCACAAAGAAACAAGATGTAATATCCCAGAGTTTTAAATTTCCTGTCACCTGTTTTATTTAGGGAACATTCACATTTCTATAGCTGCAAAAACAGTCACAAAAATATAAAACTGTTAATAAGCAGCAGTAGTTCAAGTCCCATCAATCACTGTATATTGTAAGTCCCTCATAAAAGCCCCCAGGGCTAAGTAAGTGTTTAATACATGTTTATTGACTTGCTAACTGAATTGATTGTAATGATGTAATTTGGCATAAATTCGAGTACATTTTGTTTCCTATTATCTTTCTTCCTCCTACATCTTCAGGCTAGTTAATTAGACACACACATATATAGAAATTTCATACATTTCTGTTAATTGAATCTGTTCAACCTTCCTGATAATCTTTGATATCCTATTGTTATTTCCTCACTTTTATGATTCCCTTTTATTTCTTTAAACATGCCTTATATAATTGTTTTATATTCTACAGTTAGTAATTTCTAATCTTAACTTTTGGGGGGGTTAAATATGTTGGCAATCTTACAGTGGTCTGTTTTTTTGTTTACTTTGAATTCATATTTGGATATTTTTATGTAGGAAACCTATAGATCTAAGCTGGGGTGCCTGCTTCTGCTGGAAGTTAAGAGCACTTGTGTTCTAAGAACAATCGCCCCTTTAAATTGTATGAATTAAGGAAGAATTTCCATTTTCCACAGTCATAGGATTCAGCCCCCCACTAAAGGGTAGCACTAGTGAAACAATTGCCCTCAAAAAAACTTAGCTGTCCGTTATTATTTTTGTTGTTGTTGTTATTTACTGAACTTCTTTATCCTTTGGGTAGTGGTGAAAGATGCCCTCAAAGATTTTCTTTTCTTTTTACTTTGAGACCAGAAACCAACTAAAAGGCATATTCTGTGTAGAACAGAAGATGGTCTTTTATTTGCTCATTTTATAAGCTGGAGAATATTCAGAAACTTTATTGTTACGTACAGACAGAACAGAGACAAAAATTATTTATTTCTAAATGTCATATCAATTCAAGGATAAGATAGATGTTTCACAAAAAGCACTACTGGTAGTGCCCTTAATGGGGTTATTAAGTTCTGGTCACCTTGGATATTCAATTCCATTACCTGATTATTACAGTTTACTGTCATGGGCCACTTTGATAATGGAGCCTCCAGCCCTAGTCAACTCTTCAGATGACTGCAACCTGGGACATGATCTGACTACCTGGCCTATAATCTCATGAGAAACTCTGACCCAGAGCTACCCAACCAAGTCCCCAGTTTCTGACATGCAGAAACTATGAGGTTTAACAAGGGTTTGTTGTTATTTTAAGTCACTAAGTTTTGGTTTAATTTATTACACAGCAAATAACAGTTACTGTGCAATATCCTCATTAAAATATTAATATCTTTTTTATTATTTTTCTAACAGAAAATGTATACATCTAGTGTCTAAACTGAAATCAGTCTGATGTCTTAGTTTCTTTACGGATAGGACAATCAGGCTAAAAGCAACATATTTGGATGAATAAATAACTATGGACAAAACTGCGATCCTTCACGGAGGCAATCAAACAAATTTCCCTCATGCCTGACTCAAGGAGGCAATCAAACAAATTTCCAGGAGCCTGACTCAATAGGAAGATCTACGCTCCCTGTGAGGAAAGGCACAATAAGAAACTGATGGACGTGTTTCTCAGCCGCTTTCTCTCAGGGGAATTGTAAACATCCAGCTGACAGAGTTCCTATATTTGTATCTGTACATTTTCTCCTGGAAGACAGAGAAGTACAGAATCCAAAAACGATAATTTCATGTTCACTGTGATTTCAAGTAGCATCGTTAGCCAAAGTAATAAGAATAAATAAGATCATTATTTAATAGCATACCGTTCAGCATTTTTCCCCAGATTTAACACTACGGCTTAAAAGAAATCATGTTGGAAAAAATATAATAGTTGGCAATGCAGTTAAAAATGTCTTCTACGTGGTGAAGAGAATGATCATCGTTAATGCTGGGAACAATGACTATTTTTTAAATGGAACTCTCTTTGCTTGATCTCCTTTTCATTATAGTGTGAGGGTGACAATAAAAGCTGTTAAAAGCCGGCATGTTTAATTGAGGTCCACGGGTACGGATAGAAAGCCTGTATTTATTTAAATAAAAGTCTTTGTTGCGAGTGTAAAATGCAAAAAGTACTCCGTAGAATCTTTGTTTGGACAAAATGAGATGCTCTGGCCCGTCAGTAAGCGTAATGCATGAGAACCTCACCAGCACTTAGAGAAAAGGCTCCGTTCAGGAAAACACCAGCAGCATTCAGCTACTTAAAGCTGAAATTTACTGAAGCTACGTGCCAGAAAACAGGAGGAGAACCCACGTTGCTTTAGGAATCTTTTTGTGTTGGATCAGCATTAATAACCCCAGCTCTCAACGCTCAGCTCTCCATTTGTCACTCATCCATCCTCTTTATTTCATGGCATTGATTATTTATGTCTTAAATTATGGTTGTTCTTTCTTGTTTTTGCTGTGGCTTAAAGAACAGCTTCAAGGGCAAGCACGAAAAGAAATGTCTGGACGGGGTACCTGGGGATGCGTGGACAGCTCCATGAGAAATAAGACCCGGGCCTGTTTTCTTGATACACACCGCAGAATCTGTCATTCCCTCAGCCCCTATAATAGTTGTCCATTTATTTCCTACGTGTTGGTACAATACTGGCACAATGTTAATGAGAAGACAAATGGGAAAACATAAGCTCATCGAAGTTTGTTTCTTTCCCTTTTTAACAAAATCAAAACAGTGTCTTCTTCTCAGAGAATAGTCATTATTTAAACCTGTCTCCTAAAGCTGACGCTAGCTTTGAAGATCACTGCGGTGAACCTATTACCCGGTGTTTGAACCCTGCTAGAGGATATAAGCCCAGGCCGTGTTTGAATTCCTCCAGCACCACTCAGCTCTCAACATAGGCAGCTCACTTAATCATCAGCCAGCTGTAATTGGAAGAACTTTTCTCTGCCTTTCTGAAACAAAGACAGCTAATTTGGTTTTCTCCCTACTTAAAACAAAGCTGGAAACTTATGTAAAGTTTTTTA